AGACTCTTTACTATAGCAAGGAGTTCCCTCCATGTTACACAGTAGTTCCTCTCTGGTCTACTCAACATCCTACTGAAGTAGGCCACCACATATTCGTTTTCGCCCACTTTCTGAGACAACACTCCTCCAATTCCGACATTACTAGCATTACAATCCAGTATGTACGGCAGTGAGGGATCTGGAAGCTTTAAAAGTGGAGCAGAGGCCAATTTTTCCTTCAACGTCTTGAAAGAATGTTGGCAAGAAACTGTCCATTCAAACTTTTGGCCTTTTTTTTAGTCAAATCATGTAGTGGAGCAGTTATAGTTGCAAAGTCCTACACAAACTTGCGGTAGTAAGTACAGAGTCCCAAGAAACTTCTTAGCTCTCCCACATTGTCTGGTGTTGGCCAGTCATGCACTGCTTTCACCTTATCAGGATTAGTTTGTACACCATTCTCACTAACAATGTGGCCTAAGTAAAGCACCTGTTTCTGGAACAAATGACATTTCTTGGGATGCAGTTTGAGGTTTGCTGCTCAAATACCACAATTCATTCAGACAAGAGTAGCCCATGAGTTGGCGGTGGGTGCTGTTGACTAGCTGCCCTTCCTCTAGTCTAGCAGTTGAAAATTTTGGACAGACAATTCAGGTACCCCTTGCATATAGCTTAGTATAATGTCAGAATTAAAAAATCTGATCTTCGCCAATTGTCAAAATAAAAGGCTTTTAGTTATATTTCTTAATAGTATAAATATATTGTTGCGTCATCGAGGTCACGTGACTAGTGTGACGCCACCTATTTTCTAGAAGTATCTTGTTCCTTCGTGAATGCCCTAGCAGGAAAGGTCCGTTAGTCTTTAAATAAAGATGCTCAGTAAATTAGAAAGATGGTGGTGAATCCTGGTTGTATTTATGTTTGTTATGTGCTCAAGTGGCTGGCTTGCAATCTCTCAAGACTCTGTCACTGATATTGAATTAAACGGGTTCCAGGTGTGAGATTTTTCTGACTAGGAGTTTAGTTTCGAAAATTGGATCAGGATCCTGGTCAAAACGAGAAACTTCGCAGGTCTATAAAACCCTTATCAATTAAATATTTATGAAGCCTCCCCTTCAACTCCCTTAAATGTTCTGCATCCACCTCATTTGAAGGTAACCTATTTCAAAGGTCAACCACCTTTAGGAAAATGAAACTTTTTTTTGAAGATGACTCTTTCTCTGCCAACATTTATATTTGTGTTCCTTAGTCCTACCATATTCACCATTAAGTGCGAAAAAAAAAGATGATGTGCTAATGGCATCAGTTCCGTTAACAATTTAAACAGCCCAGTCAATTCCCCTTTAATTTTTTATTTTTCAAGTGAAAACAGTTTCAGAGATCTTAACCTATGCTGATAAGACAACTTTTCTATTTGACGTATCATCCTAGTAGCCCTTTTCTGAACTCTTTCCAAGAATTCCATGTTCTTCATAAGACGAGAAACCCATAGCACAGTACTCCAGTTGAGGCTAAAATATTGATATATACAATGAAATTATAACATTTTTAGAACTGTATTAAGTATTTCTGTAGATGAAACTTAAAATCCTATTTGCCCTATTATTACTAAAATAATTACAAACAACACACCGCTTTAATATGACTTAAAATACTGGTCAACCATTATGGTTATTCCAATCAAAATTATACTTATAATCTAAATTATGATAACCCTCATACATATTTAGCTCCGACTCGTGTTATACTATTATATTTGTTAACATTTTCATGGGGTTCGCTGTATAAACTATTAGGAGTATACATCTTTGTGTCTCTTCATGGTGGTTATTTACTTTATTATTAGGATCGCTACTGACGAATGTGACTTAACCCTTCAACTTCAAGCACTTGACGCTAATGATAAGGTTAGGCCTAAGTCAAGCATAACGCCTCAATAGTACTACGACAGTACGAGTTCTTTTTTAACTCACCATTTGGTAACCTAAATTAATTTAGGTGTGTTAATAATATTGTGGCATTGTGCCAAAGTTTTTATTCATATCATATTGTAGACCAGCTGTTTGATAATTATATTATAGATTTGTTTTCACCAATGGTAAAATTGAAAATCTATCGGGGAGTTAAGGAATCCGAAACCAACGTTTGGAATACTTACGTTTAGTACTTAGCCTTAAAATTTAAATTAGAAAAAGTATCGCGATGCCATTGAGTGTGGATGTGATTTAGAAATTAGAACTAGAAAACAGTAAAGTACATTATGATATGTAGTACCATTTATAAAGTATAATCTAATAATATAGGTTAGGGTTTAAACGTCGAGAGCCGGTTAAGCACTTCTCTAGTACGAGAGCTAGTTGAAGTTGTTTTAGTCTGAGAATAACAATTAACAGTAACAGCTGGCTAAAATAAAACTAATTTTGAAATAGTAATAGAAGTTATGGTTTACGAAAATTTTAATTTCAATTCCACAGTCTATTACTATTAGTATTATCAATTAAGGACTATACTAGATTATAAAAGAATACATTTCATAATTATACACCTAAAACTAAAAGTAAAATGTGATAACCAAAATTGCAGCTTACATGATTTTTATTACAATTGTTAACCCTATTGGTTTCTAGAACTTCTACTTCTAAGTTCAAGCTAAATTGTTTTGTAGAAGTATTTAAATTTTATTTTAACAGATGAATACATTTGGAGCTATTAATATTGTATACATTTTAAAAACAAACATTTTGTTAATTATTAGCTAAACCCATAATACACAGAGCTATAAATAAATCAGTTCATGTATTTCTATTATAAGTAATGAATTTATGTTGCCTATTGCTGCTTTATAAGCATTAAGTGTTCTGACACCAGCTTTTTGAATTTTGAAACACCTCACACTCTTTAGATTAGTGGAGTTAACATTTAGAAAGTATCAGCCAGGTCTAAGTAAGAAAATTATAAAAGGGGTTCTTGAACCAGAATTTTCTTTATCAATTTTTCTTGCAACTCATGGTATATTGATGAAGCACTTAAAGTTAAAAATAATATGAACAATCACTAAAATATGACAGAACAAGTAAATTATGTATATTAAAAGAAAAATTGCATGTTAAAAACAAAGTATGCTGTTACATTAGCTCAGCTGGTAGTATTATTTATTATTAACAACACATTGCCAGTTTTTAAGATTTATGGGGTTTTTGAGCCCTTTTTTAACTCACCATATTAAAATCCCCATAAAGTTTATAGGCACATCACCATTATAAAAGACCTAACTGTATTTCTTTGGTTTGATGACCCAACCTGTGCTGATGAGCTTTGAACAGGTGAAACAACAGTCTACAGCAGAGGGTACGGCCAACCAAGGAATGTATTATGCATCTTTGTCACAGATGATATTTTCAATTTTACCTTTGGTGTAAATGAAAATATATCTATGACATATATATATATATATATATATATATAATCACTGCTGTAGCAAAAGTAATAAATCAAGAAATGTATTAGGCTTCTATATCACCTTTTCTTCATTGACATTCAGGTTTTGGTGAGGAAAATAAATTCATAAACACAGGGTCACTGTTAGATTGTTACCATAATGGTAAATGAAATACACTTAGAACCTTACACAATGAACAAAGAAACTACATCTAGTTTCGTATCTCTCATGTAACTACAATAGCTACATTATTAAAAGATAGTTTTCCATATGTTTGTTATAAACAGTCAAATTTTAAAAAGTGATTTAATAGCAGTCTTCTAATGCTACTGATTTAGTAGCAGTCAACTAACAGTATAGGTTGTCATATAGATCTAACCTTCCTTTTACAGCATTGACTTTAAAATGCCATGGGTCTAGCTACCCTATATTTTGGAATCCAAGTAAGCTTAGCATGGCTATTGTTATTTGTTATCTCACAATTGTTATTTCTGTAAGATCTTCATTGTAAATTCTTTTTGAGAAATGTTAGAAGATTATGCTTACAATAGTACCATCATGTTATCTATTCTTCAGGACGTGATGATACCCATCTATCTTCAGTACATACTGTAGATAAAAGAGCAAATATAGATTAACACTTATGGATATTGTCCTGATATGTCAGGGCTTTTTTTTTGTAAGGGATAAAAAGAGGCTTTCCCATTTTCTACTGCCAATCTCCCCTTAAATGTTACAGCTTCTACCACAACTAAAGGTAAATATTCCATACATTAACTATGACTACACTACTAAAAAAGTAACACTCCTTAAGTCAAAACTTAATCTTGGAAAGTGTGTTAAATTAGGAAATTCTTGGTATCACAAAAAAATGCAAAATTACATAATGGACTTCCCTATTGGCTACCAGTGCTCTTTACCCCAGCCAGTTAAACTAAAATAAAATTGTAAATGCAAATATTTCTATATTAACCATTGATAACCAATGAAAATTAGAAGCAACAATAATCACATTGTGATGAAAGTTATAAAGGTGTTGTTGTTGACCGATGAATTTTTTTGTCAACACTGTTTTCGATTTTAAACATTCATCTCATTTAGATGTTTCTACACTTCTGTTTTAAGTACACAACATCATATAGTAATGTACTATAGTCAGTCATTATATGTAATCATATACAGTTAGAAGCCTGGCAGTTAAGATGCTTGACTTGCAATCTGAGGGTTGTGGGTTCAAATCCTTGTCACTAAACATGCTCACCCTTTTAGCCATGTGGGGTTTTATAACATTACAGTCAGTCATAATATTCATTAGTAAAACAGTAGCCCAAGAGTTTACAATGGGTGATGTTGACAAGCTGCTTTCCCTCTAGTGTATCTCTACTAAATTAGGGATGGCTAGTCAGATAGTCTTTGTGTAGTTTTGTGTGAAATTCAAAACAAATTATGTACATCTAATTCCACTTATTGCTAAGGTAATATTGTGTCATTAACAAGCAGGTTTACAAAACTGTAATTTCTTTATTTAACTAAACTAGTGTTCACTTATAATACATTACTTCCTTTATGAATTATAACATGAATAGTGAACTGGTATGATCTCATTCTAGAACAGCTAGTCAGTGCAGCTTTCTAGAAAAGAGGATAGCATTGAAGGCTAACTGCTTATTACTACACTGTATTATTCCAGAAGCTTCTCAACTGCTGGTTAACTGTATGCCAGTGTGAAAAAAGAAAATTCAGGTTAGAGGGAAAGGACAATAGGAAGAGTTTGACATATTGACTGGAAACGTTTAGCCAGAGGGAATGAACAGAATAGAGTTTGATGTATGTATGTGTGTATATATATACATGATAAAAATATTGGGTAAAAAATAAAAATACTGGTGAAGTTTCACCTAAAAATTCATTTTATGTTCAAAAATTATTTGCACACAAGGAAAACTATTCTTGCAGTCTGATTTGCAAGCTACTTTGAACAGAAGCGTTTCAAGCCCAACACAATTATAGATTCAGCTTTGTAGCTGCTTACTCTGTCTATTCAGGTTATCGTCTTATCTGTTTGTTTTCAAAGATTTCCAGTATAGGATCTACATGTTCTTTCTACAGGAGCTTTAAATGTTTAAGATCAGTGCCAAATAGCTGTTATTGCAGAATGTTCTGAAAAATATCAGGTCTAGTTTGCTTCAGCTTACAGTGCATAATCTGCAGTTCCATGACAAAGGCTTATATCTTGTACTGTGAAAATTTGAAATATAAGTTTTTAGTCAACAAATGACATCCTTCAAGTTAGCCTATTAAGTTTCTCTCTCTCTCTGTACCATAACTAAACAGGACATTAATGACCATGGTCTTCCACAGCTCTCTCTCTATGGTGTACCATAACTAAACAGGACATTAATGACCATGGTCTTCCACAGCTCTCTCTATAATGTACCATAACTAAACAGGACATTAATGACCATGGTCTTCCACAGCTCTCTCTATGATGTACCATTACTAAACAGGACATTAATGACCATGGTCTTCCACAGCTCTCTCTATGATGTACTATTACTAAACAGGACATTAATGACCATGGTCTTCCACAGCTCTCTTCTCCTTGAGGCACATAGAGTTTCCAGTGTTGATACATTCATCCATTTAGCTAGACCCTTGGCCAAAGTCAACCTCTGTCTTCCACAGTCTCTCCTTCCTTCAATCTTTCCAGTTATGATCAGACTTTCAATTTCTTCTTTCCTCATAATGCAAGTTGTTCAAATTCTGGCTGCCAATGATCAGTCCTGGTAAATCCTCAATATCCCTTAGGATTTTCTCACTCTCTATTGCGTTTATAAGGGATAAATTCAACATCTTAAACTTCACGAGGTTTAAAACTTGCATCTAAAAGTTAAATCGGGTAGATATATTCACACAGAAATTTTGGTTCATGTTTATGAAAAAGTAAAAAAATGTTGTAATTTTAGTGTTCTAACACTGTTGTACTGACTTGGAGTAATCACTGACATTCAAATACTTGTATAGTTGGAGGTGGGTGTTAAGTACTTGTATGTAAGATACATTACAAATTGGATGGACCCATGTAAATGGTAGCTGAATTCATGGGTGTCGTGTGGTTTCCTATCCATTCATATGCCTCAGTTACACTACTGTCATTGAATTGATAGAATGCTGACAGACTAATTTGCATATTTATGAGTTAGGTATCAAGCAGATGACCCGTTAATTGTATTCTCTTTGGAACACAGGTCTGAAATGATTCATCCCTACACTGCTTTCTCTGTTTGATATTTCTCACATATTGTATGGCTTAAGTTGTTGTTCTAACCACACACACAGTCTACTGACCTCCTGAAAAATACTGGCTGGTTGAGTAATCTTGAGATTCTGCCCATCTTTATGACAATTTAGCACCACTCAAGAGGTTCTTTTAGCTGTTCCTCTTTATACTAATACTTGTATTGGTGAAGAGTATTTCCTGCTTGATATGAGTGTGGTATCCCACCAAGTGATGCCCCCATATGTTCCCACCCACCCCTTGTGGGTGGCACACTCCATAAATTTTTGTTTCTGTCATTATATTCTCAGAAAGGAACTCATTTTTTAAATTTCTTTATCTAGATTGGTCCTTCCACCAGTTTCTTGATGTGGGATTCTAGCTATCTGTTCTGTGGATAGGTGAGTAGCATTTATGATATATATATATTCAGTTAAGAAAAATGTTAAATTTAAGAGTTTTAATGTCTCAGTACTCTATGAGAGTGGATGGTGTGCTTTAGGCAGGCTTAGGGACACTTTAGACCACATTATATGAACTGAGCTTCAATGAGAGTCAGAAATGTTCATTCTTTTTAGAATAAGTACACATTAGACTTGTGATGTGTTTAAAAGTATTTAATGTTAAATTTTGAGTGGTTTTGTTCCAAGAGTGGGTAATGTTTGTTTTCCTCATTCTAGGTCGAAAGATATTCACTGGTGACATCGGCTACTGGCTGATGCACAAGTATGCCATTCCTTCCCCAGTCAGAAACATAATTGCAAAGTGAAAATGTTCATGAATAAGTTCGTTGAAAGTATAATTTGTTGTTAAAAGAAAATATCAATTCATCTACTTTATGTTTTTACTGGAGATTTGTACATTTTCTGCCAATAGCTTGTACTCTACAAAGTCTTTCATTACTTTACTGCCATAACTACCCACATGTATTTTCACACTATACGAGGGAACAGTATTCTTTCAGCGGAAAATTTTCTGTCTGAATGTTGCTTCAACATATATTCTGTTGTAATCGTTGTTTGTCACAGTTAGATTACTGGAAGTCAAAAATAAACCACAAAGAAGAAGATGAATTTACTGTTCTATGCTACAATACATTCATGATAACATGTAATTGTAGTCACTCTCCTATGCTTTATGTACAGGGAATTGTTTAAAAACACGTATATACAAATTACAGGTGATCAAAAGTTCAACCTTTGTTTGTTCATTAAGTAATACAGCTTATTAATTGACAGCAGTGGTATTCACTTGCACATGCACATACAGTTATTAATCAACACAACAATACACCGCTTGCTACACAGACTAGTCAGCTGTGCACCATACATGGGCATATTGGTTTTTCCTAATATGTAAGGCAAAACATCTACTGTACAGTATAGATGGGTGTTTATGGTATTTGTTGTTGGGCACATTAAATTCCTAGACTTGAATAATGGATAATGACCATAACCATTGCTAAAAGACGGAAACATTAATTTCATTTTTGTCCTACAAGAGCAAAAGTTAATTCTAGTAGTTATGCATGTACTCCATGGCTCAGTGTTGTAGTTATACACCATTTTGTCATTTACCAAAACCTTAATTCATTGATAATCTTGGCAGTTTGTGGCCTACTTTGCACTTGTTGTCTTACTTTTATCTGTATGATAAGAACTAGATTTGTTTCAGAACTTTAATGTGTTTCATGGAATAACTTGATAGTCACTCTGGATTTATCAATTCTTATTGTTTCAATATCTTTGTCCTAATTGTTGATAACACTTCTAAATTGTCAAGGATAAAGTAATATTCACTCCTTCTCTTACAGAAATAAAATTTGTTGTACTAAAACTTGTGTGCTCAGCAGCCAGCTACCATGGCAGTGCACTGCTTCCAACACCAATCTGGAACCTTTTCAGTTGGTGGTCTGTCAGCAACTCTGTGGCTGACTGCTGTAACAGTACAGTGTACTTTCCAGAATTAAAACCTAAAAACTGGAATTATATATCTTCCTGCAAACATATCTACAAGAAAAACATTGTCGATTAAGTTATACAAGTAACACTTCGTTTGAGAATATATATATTTCACAGAAACATACTGCTGTTTGACACAACATACATCATATGGACTTCGAAACATTTCTCTGAATTAGTTACTTCATCACATCACAGTTTATGAAAGTTTACTTCATAGACAACTGCCAGAAACTTACAGATTATTCCATTACTTTATTTTGCAAATGGATAGTGAACATTCTACCGAACGTGGGTAACATTCACTTATTCATATTCTACAAAAGTCAGTTATAACTTCTCTGGTGGATTGTACATTTTGTAGCAGAAACCTGTTACCATATAATAATATTTCCATTGTGTGAATGGAAGGTTTGCACCTGCTAGAGAAAATATTTGACTAGTATTCTGTATGTTTTATGGAAAAACTTTTCTTCAGACAAAGTCTACTGTGTGAGGTTTTAACTTTTGATAATCACCTTATGATGGAGTGTGATCCTGCATATTTTGTAATGATGTGCCCACTTAAACATACTGTTGGTGTGCACATGCACTGTATTCACTATGAGAAAAACCTATACACTGGATAGGTGAAGTGAAGAAAAGGTGTCATTGGCCACTATTCAGTTCTTCATACTACAGAGCCACACAATAGCAGGTATAATAAAGAATGCCTCCTGTAAAACAAATGAACAAGCTTGTTACATGAATGGGCACAGAGACAGAGGTACAGTGAGATGCAAAAACTGAGAAATTGATGATAAGTTTTCCTGAATCATTAGTAGAAGATTGCAGTATTAAATTTAAGGATAATGAAGAATTGGCCACTCTTTTGGAAGAATTATACCAGTATTACATCATTCAAATCAGCAATGCTGGTACTAAGACACTACTTGATAACTCTGTATAATATGGAAAGAATATCTGGTGTGAAAGTAGGAGGCAACATGCACTATGTCCCAACAGACAATCCAATTTGAAGTAATTACAATTCCACTGAAATTTCCATTTGACATAGAATAGTGTGTCATTGTGATCCCTTCACAAAAAAAAGCCCTTAAACCAGTAAGACAATAATGTCTGTTCTATAAGACTTACATTAGCACATAGCAGAATCAGTAAGCAATGAAGCAAGCAAACAACCAGTGATAAAACGTTCTGGTAAAATAACAACTTCCATTTTGTGAAATGGAAACTGGTATACACTAACTTAATAAAATTGAGTACGGTCGAAGTGCACATATCACAATTTTTTAAATTATTACATTAAAAATTTAAAAGGTTTCTTAGCCTTAGATTAAAAAGAAAAAGTTTCTTTATCATTCTCTTGTGAAGTTTCTTCTAAGTATCTGAATTTTAAAAAATGGCCAATAAACATAAAAGATGTTACTATAAAATAACTTAAATATTAGCCAGAAATTTTTAGTATGGTATTATGCTTTCTAAATTTTTGTACAGAACAATTTTTTGAGAAAAAAAAAGTATCGTTACTATTGGTCAAAGTACATGCAAATGTTGCTTGAATGTGACTAACATCTGTCGATTTTAGATAACCTTTTTTTGTTTGTTTTTGTTTGATAAGGCTGATGTTGTATAGAACTATGTATTGTAATTGTTATTCTTAAGCCTAATATGTTATATTTTAATACAAAAAACTAAAAGAAACGTTCCTCTTTTCTTTGTCTTTTTCAGTTGTAGGATATGTTTGTATTATATATCTCTTTATACAGCTAATGTGGTTAAGCATTGGGAATAAAAGAATTTTATGTAGTGATAGTCATATTTATTATAATTTTTAAAATTTAAGTGTCTTTCATATAGTTACAAGATATTTAATATGTACTGGAGTCCAAACTTTTTCAATTGTGATTTTGTTCATACTTTAACTTTTTCAGCATTGATGGCTTCAGTGACCAATCAGATATGTTAAATGTTCATAATTTCACAAAAGCTGATTCCTAATGAGAGAAAAAAAATTGGACTAAAAACGAAAACATTGACTCCAAAATTGTGTACTTATTTGTTTACAGAGGCCTTACAGTGGCAGAAGTGATTAATGGCTACTACAAGATTTTCAGTTTACAAATTCATCAGTATTTTTGTGTTTACTCTCACAGATTTGATTTTTTCTTCCTTTTGTCACAATTATAAGATTAATTATTAGTTGTAAAAATTTATGTTATATTTATGTAGTGCTGTGCATAAAATAACTGTTTTGTTTTACAGTTGTGGCTAAGTTGCTTCACAATGATAACTGCAAAAGAGAAGAAGGGTCTGGAAAAGATACTGAGTAGGCTTAGCTCTGATGACATTTATTCACTTTCTTATACCACTACAAAGGGTATGGTGAAGGTTGAGACAAGACAAGGTATGTTCAGATAATTTTTTTCTTATTCTACAGGGTGTCCAGAAAGTCTGGAACCATATATGCCTTGGAGCTTTTCTTAATTTGAGATACATGACTGATTATGGTGCTGTTAAAGCATGAGAAGGTTGAGTTAATCCTGCTGTTAATCCAAACTTGTTTCAAGTTAAAATAATAGCATGGGGAACACATTCTGTAAAATTCGTTGAAGTGCCTATGATTCCATACTTTTAATTTAAACTTAAATTATGCATATGTGTATGTATACATATAACAACAACGGAAACCATAATTATACATTTTGAGTACACTGCTGTTAATTAATAAGTAATGAATGAAATTTGTTAAATAATTAGTTACTTTTCTGTTCATTGATAATGAGATCATCTGGTAAGGTCTGGTATTCCAAGGAGATAGTTATATGTAAGAGATGCTGTTTACCCTTGTGTAGTAAACCTGTTACAAAGCAATTTGTGTATGTTGTGAACTCAAAGTAATGTACATCAGAGGTATAGAGACAGAGAATTCATAGAACAAAACACATTACTTTAAAACAGTAAAAATTGCAGTTACAAAAACTAAGACTAACTGACTGTTTGGTCAAATGCTACAGCTTTTATTTTTTAGTTATATCCACAGACTTGCCAATTCTTACAATGTAGACATAATTGTTCCTTTATTTTTCATTTTATGCATGTACAAATTGTTGTGCTATTTTATGATTTTATGCGAAATTCTGTAATTTTTTCACTAACGTTTTTTCCTACTAATAATTTTCTGGAAATAATTCACCACTCTCTCGTTTGCGACTCAATTTTAGAAATGCTTGAAAGAGTCTATTAAAAAGAGTGTAAGTAGTGAGTATTCAGAATGCACTGATAATTTTTTGAGAGGAAAATATCAGAAAAACATGGTTCTACTTCATCCCCATTAACTCCAACAAAGAAAAGAAAAGTTTATAGCGATCAGAAGTTTAGGGATGCGTGCGTATTCAGAAAAGTTCAATGATATTGTATCATCCTCAAAGGGTATGAATTATGTAACATGTACAATTTGTGCTTGTGATTTTTACATTTCTCACAGGGGTGAGAATGACATCAAAAAAACATCTCAAAATTACTATACACCAGCACCTCAGAATTAGTGCTGATAAGGAAGATGGAGAAGGCACGAAAAATCATGTTTCTTTCAAGAATTTACAGATGATTTCCTAAAGAAAGTCAAGTGTGCTACTTACAGAGCTCTTAGTCAGTAGCACATTGTAATTAGTAAGTATTAAATAAAACATAATTAGTAGCGACACCCTTTCTGATAAGGTACTCTTTCTCCACTCATAAGATTAGCCTTTTCTCATTTTGTGCTGCTTTCTATATGCAAACTTTTTCAGAAATGCATGCCACAAACCTTCATCCTCCCTCTGTTGGAATCCATAGTTCCAACAACCTCTCATGCAAATCATCATGTGTCACCTCTCCACCAATAGGAGAGCATTACTGTCACATTACGCATGCCACTACTGAACCATTACTTCTTGGTTGACAGCTGTCGAGTTCAGACGTTCTTTTTTACATTGTTCAGTTACCTTGAAGTGGTTAATTTTTTCATTTTTATATTTTCTTACCTTTATTTACTGCACTTCACAGTTCTGGAGTTAATATTTTAATATTAACCTCTCTTGCCTACTTCTGCCCCACTTCCTCCCTAGACTTTCCCTATTACATGAAACAACTTCCCGCTACTGTTTAGTATTTCCACATTCCCCAATATTAGGGTTCCTATGGACCGATTTACCTCTCAAGAGGGGAGGGAGTTAGTATGCCTCATCCTCCACAGACAGCAGATAAGTCCACCCTTGCTCATCATTGGGCAGACTTTTCCTTTGTTGAGGTCAGTTCTCCCTATTTGGGGGGTAAACCCAGATTACCCTGTCCGACTTACCCAAGCACAATTTCTCGTATTCATCTCACCCTCATGGTCCTGTTAAAGTACCTTTTTTCTTTCACCTTTTGTCAGAGGCTCTTCACAGGAACCCTGAGGGTTATTTCTGCTGAAATCCTCTCCATTCTTACTTCTACATTGGGCCGTCTGTTGTTTTCAACTCTCACACTTCAAATGTTCTACAAGATATTGGCTGTTCATTTTAAAGTGATCCAGTTACCCACACCCTTTACTTTGGTGTTTCATTCCACAGTAACTTATGAGTGAAGACATCACTGGCACTGGCTGTAGCATAAACTTCATGCAAGGATCAGGTAAGCCCTGCCCATTCACTGATATCCAGTGTGGAGTTGTATTACAATACCAGGCTGTCTTGCCTGCTGTTTTACACGTGGTAAAGCCCAAGCTTGGTGTAATGTAATTACTTCAGAGGGGACTCTGTATATAGTACAACCACTGTAACTGACACTGCAAACTTCTTCCTTTTCTGGAAACTTCTAACTTTTTTTGCAATACAAACTAACTCTGTGGGGGTATGAATATATCTTACACTTAAGTAATGTAGCCATTGACAATCTGGTCTGTTAGGATATCCTTCCAATCCATCAAAGCCATTGCAGAGTGTGTCTTCTCATGCAAATGGTGCAGAGCATTCACAGTAATGGCCAAGCTCTTGGTGGGACTGCTCTTCTTAGCCTTGAACTTGCCCTGATGGATAGTTATGCATCATGTTACTAGAACCATCTGAGTTTTTCTCCTTTTTTAAAAATTGAGTATTAATGCATCGTAATATCTTGTAGTTTTTGTAATGTTCTAGACCTCTGTGGGGGTATAAATATACGTCGAAAAGGTAGTTCAAGGTAGTTCTAGACTGTGTGATTGTGAGTTTAGCCATAAAAAGCGTATAGTGGCGATTGTTAAAGTGAAATTATCACAGATATTGTATTGTAATAACAGAGCAGGAAGAATAATTCGTCTTGACAAATTGTGTTCTAAAGTAATAGAATTAGCCTGTGTGGACTTGGACGAAAAAAGAGATAATTATTTAAAGATCTGGATGCAACTGTTCAATGAACATTTGTATATACGGTTGACTTGTTTAAATATACTATTTTAAAACAAGCGGACTGTGTGCTGTTTATTAGTTGTTGAAACTTATCGATAACAAGTCAAAGACACCTACTGTAAAAAATCCAACCCATACATAAAACCTGACAGTTTCATGAGCATACAAAAATAATGAAGACAAGGTTAGGTGTTTCAAGCAGGACAGATCCTGGCATTTACAGTAGAAAACTATCTTCCCTGTTCTACTGAAAACAAAATGAAAAGGCTTATTAATGCTTTCTAAGCCAATAATGGACATGTTGAAGTTGGGTAAGCAGAAAGTAACCATTATACGAAATACTGCATTAAATTGGATATCTTGGCTGAAAAGCTAAGAGCTACAATTTCTGTTCAATAACCATAGACGAAATTATTTACAGAAGCACAATTAAACAATTGGCAGTGTGTGCAGTGCATTACATAATAATAAGTTCCAACTAGAACATGGGCACCCACAGGAAGGAGCAAGAGGGGGCACTTCTCCCTTTACATTTCACGTATTATGACGTAAACGTAACATCATAGTTAAACTAAATGTTTTGAGTATTTATTATTCAAACTGTAAATTTTCGTTTGCATTTAAGCACACATAACACACATTCCTTTAGTCTGTTGACTTGCATTGTAAAACCTGATCCCCTATATACATGTTTTGCTCCCCCCCCCCTGAAAATATTTCTGTGAGTGCCCATGGATCAGAGTAAGCTATGTGCTTTTGTTTATAAATCATTGTTTGTAATAATTGTTATTGTAAATTGTACTGTTATGTGTATATAAAAACATATTTGTGTTAAAATAAAGCAAACTGTGTGTATCAATCCTGTTGGCAAATATCATAAACTGACTATATATCGGCTTTTACTTAACTACTAAATTCAAAGTACAATTTAACTACTAAATTTAAATTATCAGTTAACTCAATTTCATTTGAAATTATAATATGTAACACCCCTCTCATACCCCTGGGCTGAGCCCTTATGCAGTTTCTTCAATGAGTCCTTCATGATCAATGAAACCTGGCCTGGGATCCCTTGGATACTTCTATATTTTACCCTCATCCCTTGTAGACGATCTCCATTGGTGGATGAACAGAGTTTACATGACGGCAGGGGTCATGCTTCCTCCTCTGCAGCCAGATTTAAATCTGTTCACGGATGCATCCCTTCAGGGCTGGGGTGCCTGGGTGGATCTCCAGGAAGTTTAAAGTCGTTGGTCTGTGGAGGAGAGTTCTCTTCACATCAATGTTCCCGAACTCCTGGTCATGCATCAGGCTTTGGATCACTTTCTTTCTCTTGCTAGCCACTGACAATTCTACCATGGTAGCTTATATCAGTCACCAAGGTGGCACCAGATCCAGATCATTATGTGTTTGCACTGTGGATCTTCTTTATTGGGCCCACACACATCACATTCATTTGATGGCGTGTCATGTACCTGGTGCTTTTAATCTCGTAACTGATCGTCTTTCATTCCTGGCTTTTGTCAGGTCCTTGGCAAGGAATTCCAGTTTCTCTCGCAGGGTAGCTTTGCATTTTGTTTGTTCTATTCATCCTTCTTCTTTGGCTGTTTATCAATGCAAATGGAGTATTTATCGCTCTTAGGCATTGACTCAGGGTTTCCAGGCCTCTCACCCAACAGTTGCCTATATCTCCAAGTTTCTCATGTGACTCTTTGAGAGACGTTCTTCAGTCTCCTCGATATTGGGGTTTTGGGCTGCGTTATCCCATATATTCCATTGCTCCTGCTTCCATATGGTCTTCGCTTCCCCTGTCCTTTCCATGTTGATCCATTCCTTTGGGCTCCATCAACCACCAAGGCGTCCATCTCTCCCAGACTGGGACATTAACATGGTCCTTCATGCCCTAATTTTACCTTCATTGGAGCCTCTGTCTATGTTTTCCCTGTTTCACCTCTCTTTGAAGGCATATTTCCTCTTCCTCCTGGCCTGTGGGTATTGTAGGTTGGATATTTTTGCCTTTGATGTTACCAAGACTTTGTACCACTCCTCCTAAGTTATCCTTTATATGGATCGTGCTTTCCTACCCAAGACCTCTGTGGCTCGAGAAGGTCAGTATGCCTTTTACCCTATCCGCCTATTCTCTATATGTTATCTACACTTTCATCCTGATCCAGTTAGATTCCTCTCTCCTGTCCGTGCCCTCCATTGTTATATTGATTGCATGGCCTCCTTTCTGGGGTCCTCGTTCCAGCCTTTTTATCTTTTGGCAACCTTCCTCTTCTCGTGATCTTTCCCAGATTACCTCTACCAATTGGGTTCAATGTTTGATCCAGTTGGCCTATTCCTCCTTGTCTTCTTCCCAGCGTAATCTCTTTCCCATTTCCTCACATCAAATCCATCACCTTACCTTCTCCCTTGCCTCTTGTCTTAGTTGGCCATTGGAAAAGATTCTACAGTCATGCATGTGGACAACTCTGCACACGTTCATCTCCCACTACCTACACCACATCGCTGTTTCTGATTCCTCTGGGTATCGCCTGCCACCTGTGGCTATTCTACAGACTGACATGGCTGTGACATGAGGTAAGTCTTCACTAATGTTTTCTTTTCTTTCAGGGGCCCCTGCTTCAGCTTCAATTTGGATCCCGCTCTGTGGCGAGTGGTGCCCGACCAGGTATTCTGTCTGTACTCAGAATTGGTTCCACTTAGATGGCTATAACCATTCACTGACATCTTGCTATCAAATCCACACTGTAAGCCATGATGATTCTTACATATTTTCCATGGCTATGTTCGCTCATCCTTGAGATGGGGTGTTTCCCAAGAGTGTAAATTCCTTGTGATAATTGCCTTTTAATATGCCTATCTCAGACCATACCACCCATGGACAGCATGGGTAAAGCAGAAGGGGATTGGTGTAGTCTGCTTTTCAGATTAGGGTTTCTGATCACCCATTGCACTGTCTCAGGTGTTGCAGTCCCTCTGGATTCTCCACTGCACTTCCCCTCCCCTTTTTTCCAGTGGAGTACGGGAGTCCTTGCCATTTACTAGTTCCAAGCCACTGGGGTGGTTGACAGTGGAAGCAACCTGCTGTATGAGTTCCACAAAGTTGGCTATAACCATTCAGTTCAGAGTAGGGTGGTGGTGGTGTTCTGCCGGTGTAGAGGAGTTACAAGATCCTCCGGATGAGTGACTGTTTCCCGGAGTTGAGACCCCAAATGCAGTTCACCCCTCCAATTGGGTGCCCTCCTCCCCCCCTCACATGCATGTCGGTACCCAGTAAGTGAGGTTTCGGAGATCGAATGAACCAATCACATAAGTTCTCACACTAGTTTCAGGTTGTCCATCTTCCCCTCTCAACTTGTCTTCTGTGTTATGGGTTACAGAAGGTCTATGTGGCCTGTTTCCACTTCTGTTCTGGGTTTTCCCTAGTTGGGTGACGAGGTTGTTACCGACCTGAGGTCATTTCAGGCTGGTTTCATTGTCACGGGGGTTGAATGCATGTGATGGACTTCCCTCAGATTCAGGATGACACATTAGTCATCCCTGGCATAAGTCTACCCTGTGAGTTCCTGGAGTCAAATGTTAGGTTCACTCTTGACTCTGAAACTTGAGGTAAAGATAGTATGATCCTCCTCATCCTACCCTTGCAAGGATGTTGGTACCCAGAAAGTGAGGTTTTGGATGTAGTTGACTTACTGAGTAAGGTCCATCACTCCCTAGCCACTCTACACCGTGTGACACATTCTCACTTACCCACTTCCATCGTGGGTATGAGTGATTCTGATTTCTGTTTAAGATCATGTTAAACTATCCCCTCCCACGTTGATGTGCTCACTTTAATGTTCTGCCATGTATGGTCCTCCTGATCATGTCAATGTTCATGGCAAAGAGATACCTGGCTCAGATGTGGTTTGGTACCCCTCCTCAGATCATCTGATCTGTTCCTCTCATTTTGGGGGTGTCCTCCAGATGCTTCTGCACGATATACCTGTGCTTCTCTCACTCTTGTCCGTCCTCCATTTCAATGTGAGATTCAAGCTAATCTTGGAAGCAGAGGGAGAGTACCTTATCAGAAGTTATAATTTTCCTAAATGAAAATGTATTTCTGATAAGTACTTCCAACCCCCACCCCACCCACCCACCCCACAATCTTCTGGTGCTCGCTATCTTCTGATAGTTCAGTAGTGATGCATAGAGTGAGTAACATGCATCATGCGATAGTAGTGCTCTCCTATTGGTGGAGAGGTGATGCATGATGATTTGCATGAGAGATGTGTTGGAACTATGGATTCCAACAGAAGGAGGATGAAGACTTGTGGCATATGTTTCTGAAAAAGTTTGCATATAGAGGGCAGCACAAAATTAGAAAAAGTTAATCTTGTGAGCAGAGGGAAGTACCTATCGTAAATACATTTTCAATCAGGAAAATTATAACTTCTGTTTACATTTTTTGCAATTTTTCCTTGTCCCAGTAGGGATTACTATTTTTCAAAATTTAATGTTGACAGGTCTGTATCCAATTTAAACTTAGTTCTGGTACTGTTTCTAAATAATTTCTCGATTCTTTGTAACTCCAACATTCATATTGTTTATTCTATCTTTTGTAATAACTCATGCTGTACTCACAATGGCTTTATAAATTTCCACTCCATTAGGCATCGTTGTATGATTCCCAGGAACATGCATTTCAAAGTATTATTAGGGATATCCATATTTAGGTTAATGGTCTCTACACAAGCAGTAAATTCCTTGCTTTGACTTAGAGGTCAGCTATCATAGCGTACTTTTCCTAGTTGGGCCTCTCACAATATGGTGAAAATTTTTTCTATGTAGAGTATGCACTCTCTATATCTGTTTTGAACTATAGGTTACATAAATAACTAAACTTTATTATCTGCTCTGTTCAATTTCAATTTTAGCTGTTGAACAGATATTTAATATTCGTACTTTAAACCATTTGTTAATACTTGCTGTTTTTTTCAAAGCCCAAGTTGTTTTGTACAGGAAGATATGGAGTATTATGACTATAGAGAATAACATCTAAAGTTAAAAGAAATTAACTCTCATATTTATGTGCATTAAAATAACTAGTTTTAATGTACATTGTTTAATCTGTGTTTTGTTCTAGATGCAGAACGTTCAATCCTAATGTTTACAGATAGAGCAGTTTTATTGCTGAAACGTAGAAAAATCAAAAAGGAAATAATATTTTCTTATCTCATGTCCGAGGGTGTAAGTGTCAACCCAGATGGAGAGAAACGACATTTCATTCAAGCGTGCCTGAATTATTGGAACTCTGAAGTTATACCAGAGGTTAGAGAGTATGAAGAAAAGTATTATTTTGTGAAAATCAAACTTAATTTGTAAAAATATATTTAATTTTTTGTAAGTTATTTGTTAATCAGTCTCAGTGGTTCATTTTTTTCTATTATTGGAATAGAATAGTGCTAGAGGAAATCCAAGGTAAAAGCATCTTCAGAAACGCTGCTCTCCATCTCCACAGAGTAGAAAGATAACACTTCGTGCCATTGCAGAAAAGTTGCTGCATGTGCACCAAGCATTTTAACAAAAAATCCCACCCCTCTGCATAACATGTACTGCAGCAGTCTATGTTACAATCAGTATTAGAATCACAATCACTAATATGAAGGTGACACATCCTCTACTAGCAGTGCTCACCTTGAATACTTTGTGTATACTAAAAGCTTATATTTTTCTCAGCACTGCAATGTTTAGTTGTGTTCTCTTTTCATTAAGAATTATTGAATTGTTGCGATTATTTTTTCTACTTTTAGTTAACATTAACATTCAAAAAGGTATCTTTCTAACCATCATTTCTTGATTTCAAGAAAGAAAGATACAAATCTTAAAATTGATTTCGATTAGAGCTTGTGATATAAATTTATTTTTTTCTATATTGCTTTGATTTCTGCTATTAATCAACCACAAGATTTTGGGACATGGTTATGGAGCTTTTGGTTTCAAAAGCTTTCATGTCTCCTTTTCTTCCTATGCATGAGATTTTGTATCTCTCATTTTCCTTCTGGTTTTGTCTTTTTTTTATGTCCTCTTCAGTGGATTGTGGCAAATCAGTGGAATATCCTTTGCTCCACTGTTTTCTCTCATTTCTCTACCTCCATCTTTTTTTGTCTCACTCTTGAACTAGCTCAAATGTTTCCACACAACTCTAAGCATCCATTTTGCTTCACCTTGTTCATACTTACACGCATTCATGGATACCCCTCTAGCCAGGTGAGGTGCAGTTATGGATACCTTCAACACTGTCCTCTAGATGTAAGCAGTTCGCTAGGCCTGCCACCGTCTTTTTACTGCTGTCTTGACATCCTGTTTTAATCTATTTTAACAACTTGTGTTTCTTATATCAACCAATAGGAAGATACTTGCTCTCTGACCTCTGCTTTCTTCTTCTCAGACTCTTCTTTTAGGCTCACAATAACAGCATCCAGTTGTTGGCCTTCCATGTTCTGGGAGTATTGAATTTTGTGGCAGATCAGTTGTCTTGCCTGGGTTAAATCCTTTGAGCAGAATAGTTTAGTTATGTCAAAAATCATACTAATATATATAGTCTTATTATGTACGAATCAGAAAGTTTGGTTATGTCAAAACTCATACTAATGTATATAGTGTTATTATGTACGAATCAGGAAGTTTAGTTATGTCAAAAATTATATCAGTATATATATCCTTTTTGTGTCTTGACTAGGAACTTTAGTTACATCAAAAATCATACTAATTAAGTTTTTTTATGTGTGAACTAGGAACTTCAGTTATTGAACTTCATTTTAAATTTATGCTTCAAGTATATTTCAATTCTTTTTCAGGACTTGGATTCTGAAATGCTTGAGGATAATACAGAAATATATAATACATTACCGTCACAAGGCCAAATAGAAGAATATAACAGTTCAACGGTTTCAAACAATCAGTTGCTTAAAATGGCAGAAAAGTTTTCTGAGTGGTTTTATACCCTCTTAAACAAACATCAAGAGGAAGTACAGTCTTCAAATGACTGTTTTGGACCCCATCATTTCTGGCCACAATGTAAATTGAATTTGTCAATCTCTGTATTAAATGAGGTTATAGAAGAGGAAATTCTAGGGGATGTTTCAGTATATCAAACTCTGAGGAAGCTTGTCCAAACAGAAAAATTACTTTTTAATCCAAATTCTGGATCACAGGAAAATTGTTGCTTTCAAGATTCTCATGGCCCAGTTAAGCTGGCTATTGGAGGAGTGGTGCATCGTAATAACAACTGTATTGGACTGTTTGACAGCTGTTTTGGATTAATTCAGGACCCTCACACTGATGATCGGTGGCGAATAAAGTTTATGTCTCTTTCTCTCCGGCTTGGAGAAAGACTTCTATCTCGTACATCTCTTCCTGCTCCAGCATATCCTTCTGTATACCTAACAAGATAATGTCTTGATTTCTTTTTCATAATGTGTGTATATAAGTAGAGTATGCATCAGTATATCAGTAAAGCATAATGTAAATGATTTTTTTGTATTATTTTGTTGAAACTTAAAAGATGGCTATAACTTTTAACGTGGAGTGTCATCTATGCTGTTCATGTACCAGTGTTTTAATTACTAGATTCATTTTACAGAGTCTCTTTCTCCTGAACACAATGTTTTTCATCATTAAACTTCTCAACATAAGTGATAACATGTTATGACACAAACTTTGGAAAGAAATTGATCTCCAAATACGTGATTATCATAATTCTAAGAAGTCTCATTAATACATGCTACTGCAACTTAAACCAGAAATTTACTAAGAGTTGATATAACTTGTAACTTGCTGTATCTGACAGATCCATTGATTTACTTTGAATGTTGATGCATCTAAATGCTGTAGTAGTGACCCAAACAGAAACTACTTAAATTATAATGAACCATATTTTCTGTTTTCTAATTACTTGAAAAGTAACAACTTTCAAAGATAAATAAATCAAGTAGGCTCAGTGTCATAAAAATTGCTTCTATCTTTGTGACTGAAGAAGAATTAGATCATAATATAGTGGCTTACATAAAAATCTTTTGATTTACTGATCAAAACGTTTTAAATTTGTGAGAGAAAAAAGAAATACAACAAATGGGAATTCACATAAATAAAGTATCATTAGTTGAAAATATATTTGCTTTAAAACTGTTGTAATTTGTAAAATAAGATGTTGCTAATGGATAAAAGATTTCACTTTTTTTTCTTATAATCAAAGTGAAATTGTTAAAAAGGATGTAAATGCTATACAGTATTAAAAATTCATTTACCAATTCATCATGGTGTTGTCAGGAGGTATTAACAACAGAAGATGTGCAAGTTAGTGAATAATGCTATTTATTTAACAGTTTTATTGTACCTTCGTCACCTGCAGAATAAATAAAACGACTTGCCTTTTTTTATGATGATGCTGTGAAATCAGTTTTTTTTTATGTTTTCATAGATTTCAATGAAATATCATTTAACTTTCTAGGAATTATATCTGTGGCATAGCATTGCTAATCTTAGGTCGCTTTACGATGGGCTTGTGTAATAAACACTAAACAGTTTAAAAAACAAACAAAACATGCAAGCCTTTGATAGTTTGTATTTCAAAATTGTGTTATGTCATTATTTCATTGTGTGTGCATGCAAAAAAAAAACAACTGAGCCACAGTAACTTCATTAAATTTCCATAAAATGGTCTAGATTATTATTTCTAGTTAACAATCCAGTGTTTTGAGAGATATTTTGTATTTTCAAATAAAAATATATTTAGTCATCCTTGTTTTTAAGCTTGAATGCTCTTTATATTTGATTATGAGTCTTGGATAATTTTTGAAATGTAATTTTCAGTTCCAAAGTATTTTATGAAGTATGATACTGTGTATTTCATTGCAAGTTACAAACCAATATTCTACAACAAAACTTGTACACTTTTAGGAAAAATGTTATTTAAAATAAATTGATATTCAAGTATATTTTGTAACTTCTCTCACAGGTCTTATACCCCAACTGTGAACTCGTGTTGGATTATTTGCAATATTAGGATGTATAATTTCTCAAACATGTGACTTGCATTATATCCCAAATCAGCTAAATGTAATTAAAGATTAGTCATAATAAAGTGTGTAAGAAATACCATTTACATTTACAAAAGCTTAGAGTAAAAAACAAGAAAATTAATGTTTATTTCTGTAACATAAATTTCATATTTTAAGAACCATATTAGGAATGAAAAATGGAAAAACTCCATTGAACTGATCCCACAAATCCAATCAGCCAACCTACTCCTCCTTACATATTAGCATTTAGTCCTAGTGGCCTACTTATAATTTAATCCACACAATTCAGTCTTATCATTATCCTTGACAGAATTAAGTTATCATTGCCTTTTTCTTTAAATTCCTTTATCAGTTCCTTGTACATAATTATCAATTAGCTCCTCTCCCCTACATCATTAGCCCTTATGTGCATAACAAATACTGGTTTGTGTGTATATATGTACTTATATATTATACGGGTGTCGGAACTTTCACATATTTGACTTTTGTAGCAACTGTAAATTATATTATTATATTATATTCTGGGAGAGGCAGACCCCCCCTAGATCGAGCTGCTTTTAGCAGCTCCTTGTACCTTCAATCTCTCATCATAAAATCTTTACATCTAGCTAAGCATCTCTACTTTGCAACTCATTTCTATATCACTGTGTTGCTGTAATGTATTTTATCGTTGGGTGGTTCCTTTGGATTACTTGGTAAAAATCATGCCAAATCCAGTCCATGTAATGATTTAAAATTATTTTTTCCTCAATAAATGTTTGCTATAGCCACGTTCATTTGTAGGCCTAATTTCATAAATACACTTTTATACATGATCTCTACAACTAAATGTAGGCCTGTCTTCAAATACAACATTGGAACTTAAACTGCGAGATGTATGCTTAAGTTAATCAGCTTTGACTGATAAACAAACATGTTACTCACCGACTAATTGAATAACAGAATAGATGCAATAACTCTAACCAATATCACTGAATAATCTTTCTTACATTGAACTTAAATGACTGCCACTGAGCTCGTATTTATATACTGTACTCTTCTTTCTACATATTACATCAATACATGAACCTTCTCAATTCTTAACTTTCCAGATCCTAATGTCATTTAATCACGAGCTCTCTCTAGAAAACATCTCAATTAAAACATTAAAAAGACAGCTCATAACACTGCTCTTTCCTAGATTGTAAAGTCCTTTAAACAATCCTAATACACAAATAATACAGTTTACTAAACTGTCCATTAACCAATTTGTTTTGGTGATTTTCTCTATTGAGGCCCATAGTATACAGATGGGATGGGATCTTGACCTTTATATTGTCACTTGCTGTCCTGTCACTGGGGTGTTTTCCCCTGGGTAGGTAGTTGAGGGAACCCACAGGTTGATCTATTCTTGGTGATCTTCTCGAAGTAGTCATGATAGAAATCCTGGGCTAATCAGGAGGTTTATTTTCTGCAAGAACATTATTCTCTGAAATTACTCAGTCATTATCTCACCAATGTACTTCCAAGATGATTACAGTGGATGACCTTTGACTTAGACCACCTGCTATTCTGGATTATGTATACTGCATCATTAATTATTTTCATTGCAGTGATGATTGTACAGCCATACCATGTCACCATGATGGAATTCAGTCATGTCAGCATTACCAACACAAAACTTTTCATTTTATCACTAGCAGATTTAAGTCTTTCCCTGGTAAAGTCAATCGTGTTCCTTAGTTCCTCTGCATATTCATTGTAAGCATCTACTGAGTAACTATCCTTTGGACATCAGTACAGAAGGTACAATGACACTTTAAGTTCTCTCCCAAACATCAATGGTGGTGTTGTGTTGCCTGTAGCTTCTGTTCTTCTATTCAATACTTCATAAGTAAAAGTGCAAGTCTTGATCCCACATTTTCTGATGTTCATTTACATAAAGGTACAAGTTGGTGAATAATGCAGTTTGTTTAACAGTCTTATAAACCTCTGAACTATCTGACAAAACTGCACCTTGGTCACCTGCAGAATAAATAAAAGAGACTTACCTTTTTTGTGCTTTATGCTGTGAAATAAGTTTTTTTTTATGTTTTCATAGATTACAATGAAATATAATCTAACTTTATGGGAAGTATATATGTGGCATAGCATCAATAGATGGGTGAAACGCTTTTGATTCAAATATCTAACACCTTTCTGTTAACAACGGGGATTCAAAATTTCATCTCTGATCTGAGTGAAGCTCCATAGGCACCAAAATCTTAAAATCATTTACGAGTTTCTGCTTCCTGGTTAGAAATAGCATATATCTCTGGCCATTTGATGAAACAGTCCACACATGCAATCATGATGTATTTATTCTCACTGTTTCTCTGTGGCAGAGGCCAAATGCTTCAACAGCATCTCTCGTCATGTGTTGCTCCAACACAGTGCTGTACCTGCTCATGCAGTTTTTTTCATGGCGCATTTTACTAACGACATGATTTACATCAGTTTTATACAAATATCTGGCTTCCAACGAAATATAAATATCTTTTCCCTCTCTTCTTTGCTCTCCAGTGTTTAGCCATTGGAAGACTGTGAAGGTAAAGGAGTACTTTGGAATGTAAAGACTGTGGAAGTACCAACTTTGGTTGTTATTCATATCTATTGGTATATTCCCATTTCCCCCTTGAAGGCTTGATGAATCCTACTGTACCAAGTAATACTTTGTCTTAGGGCATATAAAGTGACTATTTTCATGGGGATTTTTCTGCACTATTCTTGATCTGCTGAATAATTGATGTCAAATATTTTGCCTGAGCATCTTTCACTTGAGTGCTGGACCACAATTCATTATTACTTGTGGATATCCCACTTACCCCAGATGCTTGTCTTGAAATGATGGCTTCATTGGCACGTGACTAACTTATAGGTGCTGTAACGGACAAAAACACGAGAATTGGGTCAAAGGAAAGTAGGTGTACAAATTTGATTAGAGCTTGAATCCATGAAAGTTGCAGATAAACTATTAAAGGCACTATCTATAAGTCACAGTAGTATTTAAACATCAACTCACCTAATGATAGTCTAGAAGAACTTAAAGAATTAATCAAACAGCTAGTTACATAGAATGGAAAGAATAAAGAACGAGTAAATGGGTGTTTCAAGTGTAACCTCAAAAAATCTGTTGCAAAGAACTGTAGATTACAGACAGTATGAAATAAGAAGTCCTACATGTGGATACTAGAAAGAAGGAACATGGCCATTACAACTGAGTCTGTAAGGAATCAACAACTGTTATTAAGTCAACAATTCAAGACCCTGAAGATATGTCTCAGAGCCGAATCAGATCAACAAACAACAAAGTGTTAACCATACCTCAAAATGACAAGAACTATTGTAATTTGTATTTCTTTGTTTGAAGGTTATGCCATACATGATGTGTATTAATGTTTACTCTTCTGAGAGATAGATAACATGCTTCTTGATCATGTCGCAAGAGAAAAGTTAATTGATTTTGAAGTTGAATTTAACTGTCGACTTGAGGATGAATATAAACAGAGGGAGAATGAAATGTGTTGTATAAAGCATACCATACATATATTCTACCATATTTTAATGTCGAAATCTTCGAAATATTTAGTTTATTCTGAGGCTATGCTGTTTACTCAAACAAATGACCCAGAAAACTATTAAGTTGACTTCATTCTAGCTGTCTTTGTTCCTTTATTGATTCTTAATCCTGTTAAAATTACCCGAGAGTTTAATATCATTGGCGAACTTTAGTAATGCACTAATTATACCCATAGGTAATTAATAAACTATTAAAAAGTAAAGACTCCAAGCACTGACCCCTTACGTCATCACTAGCAACAAATGTCCAGTATGACACTCTTCAAACTAATTTACTAGTCTTTCCCCCATCTATTTAATACGTAATATAACCAAAGTAATATATATATAGCCCTGGTTTGTATCTTTGATTAAATGGGTCAAAAATGGTCACACTTTCCTTGAGCTATAAAACCAATAGTTTAATGTTATCGATCTATTTGAATTTGAGTAAACGACTTCTAATTCTAGGAAATATTCATAATATACTT